AAACTCGAATGAAAATAAAAACATTGGAGCTATAGGAAAAGATAATTTCAAGAAACAAAGCTTATGGTGGGATTTTATCTTCTGAGCTGGATGTTTCGGTTGCTGGAGCTTTGAATGTCCTTCTTCTGAACATCATCATCATCATCAGCAGCACAAACCTCATCACTTCTACCTAACGTTTGTGATGATGTTGTTCAGAAGAAGAACAAAGAAATCTCTACAACCAAAACATCCAGCTCAAAGAATGAAACTCCATCATAATTATCCACTTGAGCTACAAATTTTTTTCACAAGCTCAAAAACAAAAGAACTATATTAAAGGTGTAGGTGTATTAATTTATAATCCAGCGAAAATCAACTTACCGGTATTGTGTGGAAATAAATCGAATGATATCTTCACGGTTAATTTTGCCTAAATTCTCTTTAGGACAATATTTTGGTAAGCCAAGTGTATTATTTTTATAAGCAGTCATATGTAATAATTCATTCATAATTGGCTCTACTGGTGGTGATCTTTCCAATGCTTCAAGTTCAAAAGAAATACTTTTAGCTGCCATTTCAATTTCTTCTTGAGTGATTTTTGCTCTAAGAACTGTTTCAGATAATATATGCGTAAGTTTATCCATATTTGTATTGAAACCAGATACGGCGTAAATGATAAAGTCTCTAAATATTGAAATTATAACAAGCATAAAATATTTTAGGAAAATTGTTAATGTTAGTAAGATTATCTGACATGTATATGAAAGCATGCATACAACAATAACAAGCACCCTTATATCTAACTACAATCTCGACTTTGAAAATCAGACATTAAGAATAATGATACATGAACTATTACCAAACAAGCTGAACAACGGGTTTTTATTTTTTTTTCAGCCACTAATGTATAGAAATACTTCAATTTGACGATCCAATAGAAGTAGGTACATTATTAACGTGGATTGGAACCTTTGGAATTAGAGCTAGTGAAACTATCCAAATATCGAGGCCAAACGGTTCGAACAAGCAGCCTAGTGGGTAAGATATCAGTTCTTTGACCTTCATAGTGATTGTCTCAATTCCTTAATTCTCATACTTATTACTGATGAGTTTTATGCCACTTATGTACTTGGTTTTATACTGGATTGTATTATATGAACATACCAGTGTTTAAGTTAGGCTGTAAATTTCAATCACTAGTTCTATGCATCTGGAAAGCTGGTTGTGGAATAATCGACGTATAATTTCGAGTGGCAGATCATTTGACTTGTTTTAACAAAAAGTTAGTTAACAATATAAGTTTTTAGCCACTAAGCTTTTATCAACATTCATATACATAACGAATCGGTCTTAGAACTTAGCTTGGCATTCTTGCATATTTTCTATGCTCCTTCTCCTCCAACAAATGAGAAAGGACAAAACATATTAACTTTGATTACGATGTCCATTAGTTACACACTTTTAAAGAGTAACACAATGAATTGATGTTTTATTTCTAATAATAACAGATGAATAAGTGAGGTAGTAGGAGTACAACAGGTACCGTTTAAGCATGTTAATAAAGAGTTAAATCTTCATTCAAAGGTGGAAGTACAACCAACCAAGATGCTCATAAGATTTAACAATGAGATTTGAAGTGGAGAGGACCTTGGAAGCATTGGGAAACCCTACCGAATAATATACACCCGGATATTTGATCCCCACGCGAAATTGTGATCCATCTGGATTCCCTACTAGAATACACCATGTCAGCGATGTGCATGAATAACGTCAAATGAGATTTATATAACTCATAAATTACTGTGAAGATTACTAAAGACTATTCAGTCTTTATCTTTGTTGATAATCAAGTGGAGAATCGCTTATTTTAATCTATACACGATGTTTTACGAATCGCAACTATTTTAAATGATTAATCCCTATTGTTGTGTATAGAATGCCTAGAAACAAAAGAGTCAAAACTAAGTATAGTTATGAAAATTTGCAAACAACTTAATCAAAAATAAAAGTTTTTTTTGGACCAATAATTACTGCTCACTCCAAAGTAAAACTAGAAAACAAAAACCATGAGAAATACCTGGCTACTTGACAGTCGAAAATCGAGTTGCAATTTTCCATGGCTTCCTGGACAGAATTTCGATCTGAAAAAAGGTTAGATGACTAAAAATAGAGTATGATGAAAGGACTAACGTGGAATCCTAATTTCTCTAGATAATGAGAAGTCCCTCTGACAAAGTTTCCCTCGTATCGAGGACCAGCCTTAACAATAACTAAAATGGTAAGATGAAAAAAGTAAAACAAACCCCCTATAGCGCATTGGCTACCAAGTTTGTTTTGAGAAGCTACACGAAGACCATTACTCAATCGTGTGATCTTGGTTTCCTTATCCTCAGTGAACTGTTTTGTATGATTACTTAACCCTTGGTTGACTACATCTTTTAATGAAACCTTTGTGATATCCAGCTGATTTCTGTGGATACTCGACGAGAAACATCTAACGTAACGTCTCAAACAAGACGCCGAACGCATGCTTTGTCAATGAGAATCACAACTTCAAATTTCCCCTATCATTTCGATGACCTTGAGCAGCAAAATTTTGTCTGTACCACTGTTTTACAAACTTTGACATGAACTGTAAATATGAGTGGTATGAACTGAAATGGTCTCATCAGTTCATTGAGGTGTTGAAGAAGCAGTAGGGCAATTGAGATGTTGCCTTGAGTTTGTAGTGGTTAATAAATTTCCGAAATAAATTGTTCTATATGTCTTCAATATCTATTATGATCACATTTGGTTCACTTGACGTGGGACTATTCCACTCTTAGTTGAAAGCGTGTGGCCAAATTCGTTGACTGCGCCGTACTTCTACTCACTGATGAATTTGAAGATCCTCTACTTGCCTCAAAAGTTGTAGATCTAAACTCTTATAGAACTAGGATTATAAAGCCATGCGTTCAATTAGACCTGTTTCTACTCGACCGTAATCTACTGATGTATTTATCCAATATAACTAAGGACATAGATCACTTTTTCGTACGCCGTGGCTCATTACGTCGACTACTCGAAGAGCCGTACGAAGGACTCCGCAAATTTCTTCTTCACGAACCTCAGTACGATATGATTGATAGAAATGGGAGTAAAATCATCAGTATCAATTGCCTGACAGCTGCCACCTAGAAGGAGACCCCTTCTCTCTCAACCCCACCAACACCCAAACTATTGACACAACCCCTACGACCGCGATACAAACTCCGGTCAGTACAGGCACAGCGAAACTTCTCTGATTTCCGAGAAGCGGCCTAGAACGACACGTCCTTGAGGACCTCAAACATTCACCGAATTTCTGAACGATAACTTTAAAGCTCATCTGTTCTATATCTCCGTTTCCGTGTTCTACCACTATTCATTTCCTAATTTTATTGTATCGGAAATCAACAAAACTATGTTGATATCCTGACATATTTGATATGGACATTAGAATAGGTTGGGGTGTATTTATTGTGCTAATATGAGTGTGCATAAGTTTTACAAAGTCAAAATACCCATACTGCTTTATTTTTATGGCTGTCACTCAGTATATCTAACATATATACCAGTTTATGTTTTGGCACGTCTTCCTCGCTTGCGTATCAATGGGTGTTTTTCGACATGCATTTACATTTTCATTTTTTTTAATTTCTAGGACCACTGGCAAAGACAAAAGGCAGGAGACGATCACAGTTTCTGCCGCACAAAGCAAGCTATCAGAAGCACTTTCATCAGCATCTTGCATGTGGTGTCGAAACTCCTGGCTGGTCACGTCACTGAGTCATCACTACTCCACTAGAGAGGAGTTAGCTGTAGCGGAAAATAACTTTCATGAATAAATAGTTTTGCAAGTCCTCTACATTGATACCGATCCCATTAGTTATGTCGGACACACCATATCTAAATGCTTTCAGTTATGCATCGGCCCCAGATCATTATTGGTTACGCCTTTCCTCGCATCAGCGAGCAAACTTGGTTCACTAACTCCGAGAAATCCCAACTACCATGTAAATAAACCTTCACACTTCCATATTCCCAACATCTGGTTTGACATAATATTGGATATTTCTGATCTGATGTGTTACCAACATCAGCTTTCTTCAACTCTGAATATCCGTAACTTCCTCAGGGTAAATCACATTTGGCAGATTTTCATCCAGCTTCGTAACTTAATTGTATCGAATGGTTGTGAACAGACTAGATGAACTTTCGCTTCTTTATCTTGTGACAGCGGATAACCGATGCCTCCAGATAGGAACCTAGAAATGATTGTCTAGTAAGGGAGAAATATTATTAATTTGTAATGAAATACTGTTCTAGGTCCTTAAGGATGTGTCATGTTTGTTTTTGAAGGACCTCTCGGAAGACAGTTTCAGTAATAAGGATAGTTGTTCGGCAGACCTGTGCTAATCCATGGAATTTGTTTTCAAGTGAAGTTCCAGCTTCTTTTTGAAAGTGTTTATTGGTTCGGCAAACACCACTTTTTCAAGTTGAATGTTGTAGTCAATGGTTACTAGAGGGGAAAAACGAAATCTCATCCTAAGTTTATTTAGTCGCGGCTTTAGAACCTTCTTGAAGTGGCTTCAGTGACAATTGGTTCTGAAGGAGCAAAAAGATAATATGTATTAACCACCAGATTGTTGTTCAAGATAAGTAATTATAGTTTAAAATCACCCTACCTTCTACCTTAAGATAAGCGGGAAATATCGAGGCATTTTAAGCGCTTTTTAGAGGTGTGTTCGGAAATACAAATTACTGAATTAGTTCCCACTTGTTGAGCACAGTCAGTCATTCAACTGATTCAGGCTTCGATCGAGCAAACAAAAGGTTCTGTCCCACAGACATGGGTAGATTGAGGTTATCACCCCACTGTCATGGATGCCGGTCAGATACACCACGATACCCCCTTGTGGTACACCACTTTCGATCACATTCTATTCGCATAGTATCCCACTTAATTTCATACTCTGTCTTCTGTCATGACGTTTTTCCCACTCGCGTACGATAACTGTTATCTCTTAGGCTTAGGGACAATGTTACATTATCGCTATTTGCTAATGGGGTAAGGTAGCTGTTGTCGCTGTGGTGTGTGGTGAGGTTTTGCGATAAATTTTATCAGTGCACAATGAAGTGTAGTGGACAACAAACCACCCCTAAAAAATATATCTGAAGTTGTAAAATTTATCCAATTGATGTGCGGTGTGTTCGAATCTGCAACGATAGGATGACAAAGAGCCTTAGTCCAAGTCCAGATATGACTTAAGATAAGGTCTTCAGCAATAATAATAATATATTTATTCTCAAATAACTACGTTACAAGAGTCACGCCAGTTTACAGGCTAGATCGAATCAATACATACCATTATGGTGCACCTTTGGTATACTCTGCGGTACACGAAAGCGACCTCCAATATATAAAATTGATAACGCAGATAATAATTGTTCAGGAAGATCACTCGTACAACTTAAGAAGTTTTCCTAATACAGAACCCTAAAAGAGTCAGCTGGGTCGTTCTGCAGACTGATAAATATTAAAATTGATCCGGACCATAAAAACGCGATCATTTTAAAGGAAGTGAGTTGATTAACTAAAGATGATTGGTTTATTGACGAAACGTATGAATGACTTGATAAGAAGTGTTTCAGAAGTCACTGCGTATCACATTAAATTTCGCAGCAGTTTGGTCATACTGGCATGTTTCTTCTTGAAACAGTGTTGCTGGTGGTAAAAGTGGTTGATCAGTAATAAGTAGTTGCACAAACCGTCATATATTTAGAGGAAATGGAATGAACTGCTACCAGCCAGTGGCTCGTATGTTCACTGCATCCACCCCAATTGAAAACAGACATAACGTTCGAGAGCTTCCTATTGGTTGAGACTACACATTTGCTTAGTAAATGTTATAGAATCCCGCTAAGCGGTGTGGCCAAGACTGAAGCCGCTACCTTCAGTATAGGGGGAGAACCATGTCCGAACTATCGGAAGTATCCTTGTTTAAATTATGCATTATTTGAGTAACCAGAACAGCGCTTAACTTCACTGCTAAGATCCTCCCGGGGTTGCAAGGGAAGCTCCCGTTACTGTTGTACGTGCGCGACAGTTGAAATGTTTGGACGCTGCTGTCAGAAGCTCTACAGCATCTTTTTCTTTGTTGGTCGGGTCATTAGGACATCACGGCTTGTAGAAATGAGGCTGTGTAACCAATTAAACTCTTTGGATTGGGGAAGAATTTGTTGATCAGTCTGGTCTAATATTGGAACTTATCTTCCCCTAGCGTCTTTTCACACTGCTTTCCTGTTGGACTGAAGCATCGGTAAATTCTGTCGTCACCAGGCCGTTTGTAATCCACCCAGCAGTACCTTTCAAGTTTCGTTATTTGAAGAGTGCAATTAATAATGACTAAGAGTTACTTGTAATAACTGTAGACCGTTTGTGAGACACTCTGGTTCCTAGCACGTAAGATTTTGTTGAGTACGAAATGCAATTGAGCCTCCACATCACGTTGTGCGTACGCCTGCTTCAGATTATATTATAAAGCTCAAAAATCCAGTCGTTTTAAGTTCTTGTGCCGGTTGTTAATGGAATCTTTCAGCTCAGTTCTGACAACGAAAATGAAGCCTATGGTGACGTTATCGCTTTTCCACGGGAGAGGTAGAATTGAACGGTTATCAATCAGGAATTCTTTGTTTATGAAGATACATTTCAAGCGTGACGGCGTCTGACTGTTTCTTTCCCATGTCGGTAACTCTGTATTATCAAATAACCCCAACTCCTCAATGGATAATGGGGCGGCAAACTCAATCTATCTATGTCTGTGGGACAGAACATTTTGTTTGCTAATGGCTCCTTACGATCTAGCAGGATGTAACTAATCAATGATAATGATGTTACTTTTTCATGTCAACCACGTCTACGACTCGTGTTGGTAACCTTGCACTGGTTCCATTTCCTACAAAGAAATCCCATTACAAGCTAATCTAGAAAATTATGGTTTGGAAGAGCTCACTCGTGACTTCTTGAGCTATGGTGTTAAAAAGAAAAAGAATAAATGAAATATCATGAAAGCATCAGATCACTAAGCTTCATTACTATAATCCGTAAATCAACATTATTGCTAACAATTTGGTTCTTCTGAATTGCCTCTATTCATACGATTGATTGCCCATTTATTATCTTACTACTGACTTGTCTTCATCAACCTACATTAGTGAAGGTGTACAGTTAGTGTCCTAATAGAGAAAAAGGTCGGAGTAATCATACCTTTATTCTATTCAAAAATATCAGCTCTAAACAACAATATTTTCTGTTCTTCTTCTCCCCCCTTTCTCTTTTTCAACAACTTATCAGACTCCCTGGACATTAGCCTGGATAATTGCTGAGGAATCAGTTGCTCTACCTACGAGCCTGTAAGTTTATAGTCTGACAAGTCTCAGCAAGATCAGTGTACATTTACCTTATCAATTCTTATAATATGCAGACCTAGATTTATCTTGCATTGGTTCCCAGGCATTCGTGGTTCGTTGTAACTCGCGCCAACTATCCCGTCGTACACTTTAGAGTCTGAAACATTATCTCTAATTTTACGCGAAAGATGTTTGCCTTCTATATGAAGTCAATGTATCA